ATTAATTGTTGTTGTGGGTAGATTAATAGTTGTAGTTGGAGTATTAATTGTTGTAGATAGTTGTCTATTATCATCTTCGGGTAGAGGAATTGGTGTTAGATTTGATTTATCTGTATTATTTCTTAAATATTAATTAATTAAATAATAAAAAAAACAAATAACAAATAATAAAAATATTTACTTTTTTTTTCACATTCTTCAGTATCTTCTTCAAGTTTTTATTTTAATTTATTAATTTGATCTCCCAATCTTGTAATTACTAAAGCAGAATTTTGATTAAGATCAATCTATTTATATGTTTGATTAAATTCTAATACTATAGCACAGGGTTCTCTTAAATGACCATCTGTACGTGAAGAAGCAAAAGCAGCACCAAGATTATATCTAGACCTTTTATCTTCATCGCTCATATATTTTAAATATCTTAATGATTCATTAATATCCAATATAGTTATAAACCAGAAGAATTCTGTATTAAATTGACAAATGTATTTCTTTGTGCATTATTTGTACAGGTAAGATACTATTGTTTTTCTATCTTCTATATAAAACATAATATTTTTTCATAATTACATTTTGAATATTTTATTTGTTTGATTTTATCATATACAATATTATAATTTTATTTGACTAGACTATTAATTAAATCATTAATATCTTTGAATACATTTTCTACTGGTAAACGACTATTATCTGGTACGAGTTCGACAGGGCAGCCCCCAAAAGTTCAGGTGATGATCAACATAATTACCTCACAACCGCAGAAACCTTGAGATTATCACATCACCCATATAGGATTATCTATCGCAATATTTAAAATAATCATGAGTCATTATATTACTCTCGAATATCAACCGTACTATATTTTTATGTTCAATAGAAATAAAATAAAATATGTGCTGCAGTTTCTGCGGCAATGATGTGATATGATATCAATCATCACCCGAACTTTAGGGAGGCTGGCCTGTCAAACTCATCTGGTGCTGGTGTCTCGAGATTAACTCTATTTCTTTTTCTTTAAATAAAAGAATTATATTTTGTTTGTTCAGCTATATAAGTTTTTACATCACAGATTTTTTTAAGTTCAGTTAACTCTTTATCTATTAGTGCACAAAAACTTACTTGTGGTCTAGCCATTTATTCTAATCCTATTGTGAAAATATTTTTATTTGTAGCAGAGAAGCAACAGGTACAACTTGAACTACAGGGTTCTAGTTCATTAGGTTAGTATAGCAACACCTACAACTATTATTACAATTTTTACTTTTTTCTATTATATTTTTTTTAATTATTGGTGTTGTTTTTACTATTTTTGTTGTTTTGGTTATCTTTTTTCTAGATTTTGTTTTTTTTGTTGTTGGTTTAGTTATTTTTTTAGTTGTCTTTTTTTACTAGGTTTAGTAACTGTTTTTCTTCTTCGTTTAGTTGGAGCCACTTTTATTGATATTGTTCAACAAATTGAATAAAAAAAGTAATAGCTTTTTCGATTACAGTTGATAAAATTTCTTTCAGACTTGTGATTGAAATAAATTCAAAATTTTCTTTATAGAATTGTGCAGTACTAAAGATTATTATAAATAAAACAATGATAATTTTTAATAAAATTATAATGAAAAGAAAATCATAGTGGTTTAATTTATCTATAAAGAAAAAAAAATAATTCTGTTAATTGGCTCTATTTATATTTTTTATATAAATAGTTGAGTTATATGTATTTAAAATTGATAGAAAAAAAAATGTGATTTTATTTTTTTGTTTTCTTTTTGGTATTAATTTTATCAATTGGAGAAACAAGAGTAACAAGATACACTAAAAGTGAAAGACTACAAAAAAAGATATTCAAAAATGCGAATGCAAATTATAAAATCTCTTATTATTTTGTTAATAATTTATTTAATTTTTATTACAAATGATTTATGTGCTACAAGAACAAGAAGAAGAACTGGAAAAATTAAATAACCAAAAAGAGTTAGAAGACCAAAAATTCGAAAAAACAATCCAAAAGTTATCATGCCAAGACCAAAGGGTTCACGTTATGCTAAAATATCTGTTCAGGCACTACCAGATAGTACAATTGATAAATTAGTAACTTGAAGAGCAAAAAAATATCAAGATGTATTAAATAAAAATGGAAAGATTACAAATTAATATAAAGGGGCCTTTATATTGAGAGAATTAGAAATGGTTAAGTACGATATTCTCTAATTCATAAATTAATTGAAACGTTACCAACATCAAGGTCTAGATCTTTAGAAACTTTAGCACAATGACAATTTTTACAATATTCTGCACTATTCCCTGTATCATCTACTACTTATACTTTTGGTAGATAAAGATATACATAACTATGAAATTACTAAAAAAGTAAATTGATAGTATACAAGTAATTTATTATTTATATTAATTTAGTAATACATTTCAAATAAATTGAAATACTTTATAAATTTATATTATCAAAATAAAGATAAAAGAATATAGAATTTCCTTTATAATCATTATGTTTATCACTTAAAATTTTGTTATCAAAATAAAAAAATTATTTATCCAATTTTAAATAAAATCAATTTTAAAATGTTTAATAGAATCTTTTTCTTATCGCATTTATGGTCTTTTTAGAATTATTCTTTACATATCTCTTCACTAGTGAATATCAAAAAGATATTTATTATTTTTTAAAAAAATCTTATTATTCAGATACTTTCTTTTTTATTTCTGTAATTATTATTAATATAATTACTATTATAATAAACGCTCTTTATCAATTTTGGTTTTGGAATATGTTAATTGAAACTTTTTTAGAACAATTTATTTTTTGAAATTGTTCATTATCACTTCTATTAAAGGTAACAGATTTCCTAATATTAATATTCCTATAAACTGAACTGAACTAAACTTTGAAACACTATCTAATATTGAGTAGACCTGGGTCTTAAAACTTTCAAGAGCATGCTATAGAAAAAATTTGGGTTAAAAAGATGGTTATTGAGAAAGCGGACAATTGAGAATCTTATATAAAAATAGTTTTATATTATATATAGCTGTATAATCATATTAATTTTTTTTTATATAGTATTAATTTAAAATTAAAATAGAATATTAAAAAAAAACAAATATATTATATATTAAAATATTTA